CACTTTTCGGTCGCGTGGGACGGACGCGATTTTGTAGGGCGCCGCCGCCTCACCACATAACCGCAGATTTTGTTTTGTAAATGAACAAAAACATGAACAAAATAATTTCTGCAATGTCCAATGCGTAAAGATTATCTAAACATATAACAGTAGGATTTCGATCAGAACGACAAATAGTGGTTACGAAAAGAGAGCATTTATTCACTTTCCCCGTGAAGGAATTTAAAAGCATTTTACACTCGATTACGAGGTTTGCCCACCTATCTGTCCATTCCTAGCGCCTGGCAAGCGATTATCAGTTGGCAGCCCATATGGGCGGCCATCGGCGTGAATGTGTTAAAGGGTCTCCTAATACGATGTGGTCCCCGCTTATAGCATGGGTAAACCCGTGCGCCTCGAATCCTGCCCACGTCAACCAAGTCTTCCACATCTCCGAAGTTGGCTAATTGGTACCAGTCGAGGGTAAAGACATCAACTTGTCTATTGGCTCACCCCGCAAATCATTATACATGACAAATCTCACGTAATGTCTCTAAGATTCTGAATGGAAGTTGATTGCATGGCGCGTCCTAAAAAGCGACTGATTAGCATCAATTACTGCCTTCTTTCAAACCAGTAAAAACATTTCAATTGTTTATTAGGCGACATTTTCTCCATCTTCTCCAAAAAGGTTTCTGCAGACCTCACTGTAAAACCATTTTGGACGAGAACATCAGCCGCGTCGCGACCGCTTATTCACAGAGTATAGCACGAATTAACGTATTACACTTAGTGTTTGAATGACCCCATTGCTCGATGCGATGGCAATAAGTGAGAATCTAGGTACCATTTTATTTGGTTTCAGCCAAAAATATTGTATATTTTTTTGGAAAAAGAAACTCGCACTCTGCAACCAGTAACCGGAAAAGAATTAAAAAGCAATGATAGTTATGAGGTATCACTCTCTAAAGGCTTACTTCAATTCCACAGCAGTGCTATTTAATGGCATTCAAAACAATGTCAGAGTACAAAGAAGCACGGGCCGTAAGACATAGACGCAGAGGATGCGGCATTCCTCCTCTGCGTCTCTGTCACTCGACTCTTCTTTACACCACACTTACTATGAACTAATCAGTAACACAAAATAACGTGAGTGGACTAAATTTCTTCTGAGATTTCACTTGAGCTTTTACTAGATTCACATTTTACCTACTTTAACAAAATAATAATATTTACAAACAACTGAGCAATGGCAGATGCTAAATGTTAGTAGAATGGCAGTCGTAGCGTATCCTGGTAGCTCTCCGGCGCTATGATAAGAAGCAGTTGATGGAGCATAATCGCTGACAAACCCCAGATACGGAATTCACGTGGCAGAAACTCGTCCGTATTATGTGAAATTACCTGCAACAAAAAATACCAGACGTAGTTCGCGAGCGGTTGCGACGCTGCACCCGAAACGTTCACTCATTGTAGCACGCTTTCGAACCCTATAGGTAGAAAATAAACAAATTAAATGAATAAATAAAGAAATAATGAGCCCTAATTTAGGACAGTTTTTACATTTTAGCAGAAGGTTTGACACCTTATTTTTTCTTCATGTGGGCGTGACAGCTACTCAGACGCCGCTGCGCAACCGCACGCGGCAGTGGCCAGCCAAACCCTGTTGTTTCTTGCGTGAAAGGGGTCAATGCAGAATGACTGCTGCTGCTTTCACATCTTTCTGTGAGCTTTACGTATTCTTAGCGTTACTGCTCACCTTGACCTAAACTCGCTGGCTCAAAACTGCGAGAAAATTCTTACAATTTTTTATAAAAAAAACCAACCGTGAAATTCTTGCTAAAAAACACTGGCAGTGCGTATTCAGCCTTTTTTGACAAAAATCGTGTGTATCCTGTCGATCGGCATAGTTCTTCTAGTGGAACGGAAAACAATGTTTGAACCTGGAACCACAGCTTTCAGTAAAAGATCGATCGGACAGTGGCTCCTTATTTCGCGTCTGTTTGATAAATGCGCTAAAGCGGTCAGCGTCAATCAATACCTCTATGGAACGCGCCACGCGCGCAACATTGATCAGAATCGTAATGCAATCTACGTGTTGCTGTCCCATATATATTAGACTGTGGGAAACCTTCAGAAAATATATCAGGGTATTAAGCTCTCTGCCAAATCTGGAACTAGTTGGACGCAGACTTCGACGACGGAGCGATGCTTGATTGCCTTCAAAGGAGAGTTCCACGATAAAATCAAGAAGAAGAGGGAGGGAGGTCTCCAAGAAAAGCGGGTCGACACGCAAATAGCAGCAAAGGATGTGCCCTAGCATGGCCCTACGCCCGGCGCTACTGACGTGGCACACTCATCGCCTGGCTAACTACTCACCGGAGGTCTCTTAGCCTTCAATGTTGAAGAGGGCACAGCGATGAGAGTCGCATCAATGCTCAAATCAACGGGCAAGGAAGGGGTCCCATTTCTCGGGTTCTGGGCCGTTTCTCATGGTTTTTCCTTCATCGTGTACCACTGACCACCTTTGTTTGATTCTAATGAGCAGTCTGATCGTAAACTCCGCCTTTGACCTGGATGAGTTTCGACCGGGATCTGATCCATACACCATGAGATTCCCTAACAGCGATCTTCTTTACTTCACCCCTGCCTGATCAGTGACCAAAAGATGCCTTACCTCTACCTAAGCCTTGCTCAGATAGGTGTCAGACTCTAGGAGTTGCAGGACTGCATGCGCGATTTTGAATCGGGTGGCATGCTGTGGCACCTATGCCATCCGTGAACAGCATGTGAACCACATGTAAGCCACACATCAACAGCTTGCGCGTCCAGTCACGCGAATCGTCGAGTCTAACGCCTACTTTACCTACATCGCACCATTTCTCGTCAAAATTTTGTTATGACTATTTTCGAATTATAATATTTAAAATAAACTCACTTCTTTTTTATTAACGTGTTCAGTTTTCAAGAGCATCGTAAGCAATGCATCCAACGATCGGCACCACCGTTGTGGTCATCGTTCGTGTGAACACCGGCTTCAGACGACCCCATATTTCCACTGATTTCGGCTCCACACCGATTTCTTCGTGGGTTTCTCGGAGAGCGGCCTGAATGAAGAGTTTTCCGTCATTCAGCTTTAGAGTTTTTTTCTTCCAGTATCCCTCAAGCCTGTCAAAATAGAGAAAAAAAGGAAAAAACGTGAACATAGCAAAATTAACAGGTCATTAGAATCGAACTCCTATCGATTGGCAAATATGAGTTGAATATTTTGATTCGAGAAAAAGATCTGCAAGAATGCAAAAGGAATGCATTTTGACTTTGAATGTTCTGCCACGAAAGAGAAATAAAATTTGGCTGAAATGGGCGTGCCGGGATTTTTTTACTAAAT